CAAGAAAATCAACAGGGCCATGCTCCTCCAGTTCTTTTCTCGATAGAGATTGTCCATCTGAATGGCCAGAGCAGTTTTGATGAGTCTAGATGATTGATTGACCTGCCTGAACTTCTGAAAACACTGCAGGTCATCGGTACTGTGCTAGGCTGTGAGGACTGCTAAGAAACAGGGTTCTTGTACTTTTCTTCCTGGCTAAGTTTTGTTGATACAATGCTTGCAGCCCTGTCTTTATCACAAGGAGGAGACTCTTGGAAAGACTGTTGCTTCAAGTCCCAAATTAGACATGATGGCAGAAGGTCTGTATTTAAATAAGGGTGTACCTCAATCAGGTAGCAAGAAGCATCTGTTAACAGCAAATGGGGTATACAGATGAGGAGTATGGACTTCCCTGTCTTCTTGCCTTCTGTTCCCCTATGCACTTTTCTCCTCTGCTGGGCTCTGATACCAGAACTTCCAGAAGTATTTCAGCAAAGAATGGTTGGGGATAGGGGCTGCATGGAAGTCAGTGTTGGAGAGTGGGAAGGTGGTTCACTCCTCGTTGTGCATCCTTTTTCCTGTTAAAATCTACTCTAAATTCCCTGCTTTCTATGTGACTGGGGCAGATCTGTGTCTAGTCTGGCTTTGGTGATGAGGCACATATATTATTGATATTACGTGATATAAAGGTAAAGGTTTCCCTTGCTTGAAAGCCAGTCGAATCCAACTCTAGGGGGCAGTGCTCATCTCTGTTTCCAAGCTGAAGATCCATCGCTGTCTGAAGACTTCTCCGTGGTCCTGTGGCCGGCATGACTAAACACTGAAGCCGACAGAACACTGTTACCTTCCCACCGAAGCAGTACATATTTATCTACTTGCAATTTCTTGCTTTTGGAACTGCTGGGCTGGCAGGAGCTGGGTCCAGAGATGGGAGCTCACTCCATCACGCAGCACTGAGGTCTTGAACTGCCGAACTACAGACCTTCCAGTCTGCAGCTCAGCGCCTTAACCTCTAAGCCACCATGGCCCTTATTACATGATGAGGCACGTATATTATTGATATTAGTTGTACCAGGCTGAGTCCCCTGGTTGAAATTCTCAGGTTACTTATTCATGAGTGATGTCATTGATTTCAGGGGTGAGCAGGTCTGAGATCACAGTGCATGCCCTGTGTATGTAAGACCCTAGGTTCAGCGTCTCTACCCAAATTGTGGGTGTTGGGAAAGACAGTTGCCTGAGAGCCACTACCTGAGTAAACAGTAATGGACAGAATGGATCAATGATCTAATTCAGTTTAAGGCAGGTTGGTATGGACACGTCTATAACTGGTCTGTGATATGGGTCCTAAGCCACAGTGAATGGGTTTTGAAGGCTGAGCTCATAATCAGAGTTCCCTCTAAGCTGCGCTAGGGGGTGCTGGTGCACAAAATTTTAGCTGGCAGCTCAGTGATTTTAGCCTCAGCCCACCAGAGACCTGAGAAAGCACTTTTCCCTCCATTGGAAACAATGGAGGATGGGGGCACCTCTTTTAGGAGGTCATAGAATTGGACCCCCCTAGTCCAAACTTTTATAAACCGGGGGGGGGGGTTTGAAGAGAGGCAAATTTGGTGCCTCTACCTAAAAAAACAGCCCCCAGAGCCCCAGATACCCCCTTATCAATTCTCCATTATAGCCTATGGGGCCCATTGACTATAATGGTTCCCATAGACTATAATGGAGCTGGGGGGATTTTTGCACACCCCTATTATGCTTTTCAGTATGATTTGTAAGCTGCCTTGAGTCACAGGGGAAACGGATATAAATATTTGAATAACAGGCTGATAACATTTAAACAACTTCCTGTTTGGTAGATTAGGCAGGTTTCTGACAGTGATTGTTCCACTTCTGTTATACTCGACTTGTAATGCTGGTTGTCATATTTCATTTTTTTAAAAAGTAGACTGCAAGAGGTCGTCCCCCCTGCCCCCCACCCCCATCCTCATGGTGCTGGTATCTTTTTTAAGGCTCAGCACCGGGTGATGGTTCAAGGCCAGGTTTACCAATATAGTGGACTGGGGTAGGTAGACCTGTTCTCTGGAGGCCAGGTCTACCAATATAGCGGAAAGGGGCAGGTAGACATGTTCTCCAGAGGCCTGGTCTACCCCCATAGAGAACAATATTTTCTGTAATGAAATTTGACTTGATTCTGTCTTCTCTTATAATGTTTAAATTATTCTTAAAATATAGTTTAAAAGAATTCATTCGGAGATTTTTACAAGGTTATGGAAATAATCTAAAAAAACTAATTTATGCAATGTAGACTCGCTCCCAACTTTAATGCTACTAGCTTTTTTCACTCACAAGGTAGAATTTTTACTCACAACACTATGGAGCTTAGAGCGAACTGCTCATGATTTAAAAAGACCTAATGCAGTCCTCAGCTGTTTTTAAATGAAGTGGCAAAACTGGAATTAAAAGCTTTTATAGCTTCTGTATGCTGCTGTAGTAGTATTTCACTAGTAATGCAGTTCTAGTATTTACAGTACAAGGAAAGCCCTGAAAATCTGTGATGCAAGTCTGGAATACCTTCCTGAAAGTGAGAGATGCGAGGCACCTACTTGATCTGTTTTGATTAGAATATGCAAAAGATTGCCTTAATACCTGCCAAATCAAAACACTTCCTAAGAAGGAAGCCTTGTGTGCTAACAGCACGGTTGTAGCAGAGGAGATAAAGCTGATTATTTTTTTAAAGGGTGCCCTTTGGTGATTAACAGTTGAGAAAAGCCCACTGAGGATGGTGAGTGGATTTTCCATTCGTTCACAATCTTTAGATCAAAATCGTAACACTCAGTAGTTTCCATGGGAGGGTGGGAGTAGTGGGGTATAACAGCCAATATTCTGCATTGGGCTATTGTAAATAACAGGGGAAAATATCCCTGGCTTGTATTACTCTGAAGGTCGGCCTAGATAGATTTCTTGATCCTTCAGAGCTACTGATTCAAGAAAGAAGCTTCTGTTGACTAGAAAGAGGCTTGCTTTTGGAACCCTTTCCTTAATTCATGATGCAACTTTGAGGAATGAACAAGCAGGATGATGGCTCATAAACAAATTGTTTTAGGGCTCATTCACATAACTGCACTAAACGGGACAATACTCCTGATAAAGAGGACTTTTACCACTTATCCCTTACTAGCATCTTGGTGAAAGAATTACAGTTCAAAAGATAGGAGTGTCTGCTTGTAACCAGCTACGCAAGCTGGAGTGTTTACATACTACTAGATAGTGTCTCAACAGCATGTGGTTCTCTTATCACAAGGCCCGCATTATCATGCGAGAACAATGTGGCCCAATTTTGGTGCCCTCAGAGTACATGCTAAGGTTTGTTTTAGTTATTACGTCCACGCATCC